CATATGTATGTAATAAATAAATAAATCTTTTTAAAAAATAGCATGCAGACAGTGACTACTGTACTCTCTGGTTCCTAATGTGTAAGCCGATCTAATAAATTCCCTTTTATAAGGCATATGTTCTCTAGAAGAACAGAACTCTAATTCACTTCTCTAGCAGTTGCTACGGACTTAGACACCTATCGAGAGGGACTGAGGGGACAGACAGCTGCAGAGTCAGGAAGGCACACTGCTGTGACCCTGATTCCACAGGTGCCTGGGGGGGGGTTTCTAACATTTGGAGGACAGTATTTTGTACCTTTTTTCTAATTTTTAAACTTAAAGCATCTGATGGCTGAATTCAGAGCCTGGCTTTTCGTGTAATCATGGGGCTCCAACTTCACCTGAGAGCTCTCCATCCATGAAGTATAAATAACAGCTGTATCTATATGGGGGGACTGTGAGAATAATTAATATGTGAGCCACTGAGAAGTCAGCAAAAAGACAGGATGTTGTCTTTTTATGTAAATGACTTGATTGGCAGGCAGCTACACCCACTCACTGCCCTGCTGCTGAGGCTACAGCATGAAAACAAGATCTGTTAACTATTCCTGGTCTGCCCTTTACAAGAAGAGCAACAATGCCCGAAACACAGGACCCAGTAAGAACCTGAGCCAAAGAATTTCCCTTCTGTGGTATGAGTAAGAATGGCCCCTATAGGATCATCTATTTGAGTGCACTGTTTGAGGTTTAAAACAACGGTTCTCAACCGTCCTAACGCTGTCACCCTTTCATACAGTACCTCATGATGTCGCGACCCCCAACTATAAAATTATTTCACTGCGATTTTCGCTACTGCTATGAACTGTAATGTAAGCATCTGACATTTCTGATGCTCTTGGCAACCCTGTAAAAGGGTCGTTCAAACCCCAAAGGGGTAGAGACCCACAGGTTGGGAACCATTAAATTAGAAGGATTAGGAGGTGTAGCCTTCTCGGAGGAAATGTGTCACTGGGGTTGGACTCTGTAGCTTCGAAAGCCCCTGCCAGACCCAGTCTCTGTCTCTGCCTGGGGATTAGGATGTAGCCCCTCACCTGCCGCTCCAATGTGGCGGCCTCCGCCATGTTCCTGCCATGGCAATAATGGACTAAACCTCTCATGCTGGCAAAATACCCGTAGATACAAAATAAACCCCCTTAAAAATAAACATCACTAACAGAAGACTGACTGAACACGTTATAACACATCCACACTAAACGGAAGTCAGTGACCACGATTTCTATCATGTATCATGTGATTAATACCCATACCTATTTTCATTCATGGAATCCCACTCTGGTGCCAGGAAGGAATTGACTGTGCAGACACACATTAGAACATATCACTACAGTTCAGCAACACATGACTGTATTATACGAATGGTTGGGCTCTTTCTACATAGCAACATTTAAGGATCGCTGAAGACCGTTAAGCCAGCTGAGCGGAATTAAGCGAAAATGTGTAACACATGGAATACAATCTGTGTTACAAAAGTCCCATTTAAACAAAGGACGATACAGTCATAGCAGAAAGCGACTTTCGGTGCATATATAGTTCTGTGTTATTTAGAAATACTACTGAGGTAGAGTTTGTAAGTTTTCTCACCTTTAGAAATACTACTTCAGGCTAGGTTGCACCTTATTTCTGTAATCTTGAGAGGCTGACGCAGAGGGGCGGAGTAGTATGTACACCTGCAATCCCAGCACTCAGAAGGTGAAGGCAGGAGAATAAGGAGTTCAAGTCCCACAGGGGCTTCAAGAGACCCTGTCTCAACCCCCTTCCCCTCCCTACACACAAAAAGGCTAAAGTAGAAGGAGCATCAGTTCAAGGCTGCCTGGACCACATAATGAAACTCTGTGTGTGTGTGTGTGTGTGTGTGTGTGTGTGTGCGTGCGTGCGCACGCGTCTGTCTGTCTGTAGAAATGGCTTAAGAGCTCTTCAAGAGGACCTGAGTTTGGTTCCCAGCATCCACAGGGCAGCTCATAATAAATAGCCTGTAACTCCTGCTCCAAAAGATCCAATGCCGTCTTTTGACCTCCACAGGCTCCTGCATGAATGTGGTACACACGAACTCATGCAGGCAACAACAAAAGCACACATATGTAATATGTAAATAAGCAATATGTAAATAAAGCTTTTTACAAAAGACAAAGCTGAGAACAGCACCTTAGTCTTTCCCCTACACTGTATCCAGAACTACATTATTTTTTACTTTTTTTTTTTAAGATTTCTCTATTTATTATGAATACAACATTCTGCCTCCATATATGCCTGCGTGCCAGAAGGGGGCACCAGATCTCATTACGGATGGTTGTGAGCCACCATATGATGTGATATGATTGCTGGGCACTGAACTCAGGTCCTCTGGAAGAGCCACCGGTGCTCTTAACCTCTGAGCCATCTCTCCAGCCCCATTTTTTTTTTAAAGAAGCACTTGTTTATTATTCGTGTATGATGGCGGTGAATGTGGGCACGTATCACCGTGTCCCTGTGGCAGTCAGGACAACTTCCAGGATTGCCTCTTCTCCTTCCACTATGGGTTGTAACTAAGGCTGTCACACTAGTGCAGCGAGTGTTTACAGACGCTAAGCCACCTCACCTTCCCAAGACTCGACTTTCCAAAGCCCAGACTTTACTCTTCACAGACATGTCTGAGTAGGGCTTTTTTGTAACACAGTATTACATATGTTCTCATACATTTTCATTTAATGGTGTTCCCTGGCTGACAAAAGACCATGGAGGACCTAAAATGTAGCAACTTCCCTCCCCATCTTGTACTTGTTACCGAAAGCATAGTATCATCTCAAATGCAGACTCATTACCATAGGACTCTTGGGAGAAGGCCAAACAGTACAATGAAAAGATCTGTGGTTGCCAATAGTTGACGGTAGGAAAAGCTAACTACAAGGAACACAGTAAGGAAACTTCTGAGGTGATAGGAACTAGTTTTGCATCTTAATTACAGTGGCAGTCAACACTCCAAAACATGCATTTTACTACATGCAAAGTTAAAAATACACTTAAGCACCAGGGAGATGTTCGTCGGATAACCATCTGCCACACAAATGTGATTACAGGAGTTCAGATCCCGAGAACCCATGGAAATGTCAATGGGCAGGGCAGTCTCCCTGGAGCTCCAGGGCTTAGAGGGTGGAGACAGGGATCTCCAACAGCTCCCTAGCTAGCAGACTAGTTCAATCAGTGAACTCTGGGTTCAGCTGAGAGACCTTGTATCAAAGAATAAGATCGAAAACAATAAAGGAAAATTCCAAATCAGTCTTGAGCCTGTACCTGCTCATGCAAACACATGTCACACGCTTGTGCGCCCACATACAAGAACACACATACCACATATACACACATGCAATGCTTAAAAAAAACACCCCAAAACAAACTTAAATACACCCTTCCTCAAATGCACAAATCGCTAGTGAAATGGATTTTCTTGGAGGGGCTTTCCAACTCCACCATTTTGCCAATGTTACCAATCGATGCTCTTAGGGGGAGAGGGCAACGAAGAATCCCACAACGTTCCTACTGAATTATTAAAACACATGCCTACAGTGGCTTACATCCATTAAAAAAAACTGGATTAATTCTTTCAGGCTCTGTGCCTTGTAGAGCCAGGCTTTTTTTTTTAATTAAGAAGTCGCTAGCACCCTCGGGACCGGGGTTGTGGGGAGGGGGGAGCAGGTAATTCACGCACACCACTAATTTGGTGTGTGCTTCAATTTCCAGCCAGGGTCTAGTAATAAATAAATAAATAAATAGATAGATAAATAAATAAATAAATCCCCCAACCCGCAAGCACGGATCTCAGCTACAGTACCTGCAGCAGTGCCCGAGTTATCACTGCTGCTTCCGACAAGACCCATGTAAGCGATCTTAGCAGATAACCGCGAGAAGACCCCCCTCCCGCCCCCCGGGCTCACCTTGCTCTGCCTGCCCCGTGTAGGACACCGATAGCCTAGATGCTTCCCCGTCTATCCTCCGCCCCCCTCCCGCCTCCCCGCCCCCAAACCACCCCAATTCCAGCTGCAAATCTCTTCCTTCTCCCCCCTCACACTAGCAAAATGTTGCAAATTAAGCAGACGCACCCGGGCTTCAAAGCGTAAAATTCGGTAATTCGGTAACGAATGTGCGGCGGCGCGCCACTGCTCCCAAACAATCCAGCTTCCTTAACAAAGCCCCAAATGCCTCCCTCTCTCCCTCCTCTCTCTCTCTCCAAGAATCTGAGAACGACTTTTCCCCGGGGACTCCCAAATCTCCTTCGTTTCCCTCCGAGGGCAAGAACCCTGGTGGACTCGGGTTTATTTTCCCCCACTTTTAGCGCGACCAACGACCCGTCCGCTTCTTGCTCTTCTCGACAAGTGAAATACCAAGCACTAGGGCTGTTTCTTCCTCTTTGGGGGGGTAGAGGGTTGGTGGTGGTGAGCTCAGCCTCGTGCCGGAAGCGCGAGCTCTGGGATCCTTCCCGGATCCAAGGATCCAGGGGGTTCGGGGTGACTTGGGGAGGGGGAGTGCTGAGCCCACGGGAGTTGCGCGCCCGCCAAGGGGATGAGCAACCGGCACTGGGGAGGCCCCGCGATCCAAGGGAGGAAGAGACCCTGGAGCCGCCGGGCTGGGCCGGGGCGTCCTTGAGCTCGCAGCCGGCGTGCAGTGACCCGGGGACGGGCAACCCCGGGAGGCCGAGCGGTCCCGGAGGCTGCGCCGCCGCGGAGGCTTCTCCTGCAAGGCTCGCCCCGAACCGGGCGGGCTGCAAGGGAAGCGGGGAAGGGGGCCTCGGCTGCCCGGCGACCGCCCTTACCTGGTCTGCGCCGCCGCCGCCTCCGGTCGTCCAGGGCGGGCCGGGGAGTTTTCCCTAAGCCCGGGGATGAATCACTCGGGCGGGTCGGGAATGCACCAGGAAACACCCCCCGGCCTCCTCCCCTTCCTCCGGGGCGGTGCTCCCAGCGGCTCGGCCTCTTCCTCCCGGGCGCTCCTCCCTCCAAACGTTGGCCTCCTTGGGTCTCCCGGTCCTCCCTCCGGCTCGGCCCTGTGGACCCCCCTACCCCACCCTGGAGCCGAGATCCCCGGGTCGGAGCCCCGCTCGCTCACCCGCAGCCAAGGAAGCCGGGCTTTGCGCGGTGGGCTCCACCCGTCGGCCGGGAGAGGATGGATAGGGGTCACTGCTCCATTCCACCGGCCTCTCCAGTCTCAAAAGAGTTTCCCCTGATTTTTTTTGGGGGGGGGGGGAAATCACTCTGCTCAGGCTAAGGCCGGACGAGGAAAAGGATTCCGGCTCATGAAGAAGCAGAATTGGAAAAGTACGTTTTTAGAAGATTTCGTCCGTTTCTATGTTTTATGGGCTTGGATGTTTCCGCTTGGCTTGCGCACGTCTGTGCGCCGGGTCCAGTGCCAAGTACCGGCAGAGCTCCAAAGGGGGAACTGGAGTTACGGCATGGGTGCGTAAAGCCTGTGAGACGACGGTATTAGAACCTCGGTTTTCTGCAAGAACAACCGTGTTTGATTTTTTTCCCTAGAGCTCGTCCTCCGTGGTGGCGAGCGTGTCTCCCCCCGCAGGTCCCCCCAGATCTCCACCGCTCTCCTGTCCCTGTCTCAGGCTGGACTTCAAGAAGGACGTACAATCGTAGCGTCGAAGGAGCTCGTGTATGCATTAGATGCGAGACTGGGGAGAGCATGCGCACGCTACCTGACCCGAGTAAGAAAATAACCCACCCTGGTCCCTGAAGTAAGAGTGCCGACACCCCCGTCTGCCCTCTGAGCACGGACCAACACAAGTTCAGACTCCTGGAAATAGCTGGCAAAAGAAAACCCGACCTGAACTCGTTCCTCTCTAAAAAAAAAAAAAAAAAAAAAAAGCAAGAGACGGGTTGAGTAACATGCATCGCAATGCTCAACTTAAGAGAATAGCTCCAAACTTTCTACCCTTCTTCACTGCCGAGGATTTGAGTGTTTTGTTTTGTCATTGGGGTTTGTAACCCCGGCTCCCCCTTGAACCCCTGATCTTCCTGCTTCCACCCCCAAGTGCTGAAATTACCAGCATGCACCACCATGCCCAACTTTTCTCCCCCCATTTTTTTTCTTATGAAGGAAGCATTTAGTTGAGGTGGCTCACTGATAGTTTCAAAGGTTTAATCCATTATTATTGTGAAGGAGAGCATGGCAGCTTGCAGGCAGATGTGGTTCTGGAGCTGAGAGTGCTCTTCTCCCCCAACTTAACAGAAATAAATCGTTATTAAGTAACTTTTCAATATCAGAGTAAAACTCATGTGATTCTGTTTGCAGCAAATACATGTCAGTGCCTTGACCACCTTGGGTTAACAGCCCTTCATCATAAAATACGTAATGTGTCAAACACAGTTAAAGGTATAATTCTTAGAGATTCTCCACATATACATAACAGAAGAGTATAATAAAATTAGCAAAAACTAAGCTATATTGGCAATACAAATGTAACACGTTGATTCCTTAGCTTACTACTTGCAGTGTGTGGTGCAATAAAATACAAAACACGGGCTTGATGACATTCTGTCACTTCTCCAGGACTATAACCTAGAGATTAGGTTTCAATACTGGCATTTATCCTAAAAGCAATTCACATTATATATCATTATATGCCATCAAGGCATCTTTTATACTGAAAAAATCGAAATAAAAACCATTTGTAAACTTTTATGTAAAATGGAACTCTCAAGTAGAAATGGAAATTAAAATTTATCTATTTACTGATGAATACACATAAGATTTCAATTTTTGCCATACTGAGAAAAAGAAGATCTTTTGTTGGGAAAATAATTCTCCAGAGAATAATTAGTAGAAAACCCACCAGTGTATTTTGTTCTTTCGATGTCAGCAGATAGGGGAACACTCTGAAAGAAAAGTCAGGCTTCTACAGGCAAAATGCACAAGTCCATTTTAAAGAAATCTTTGCTTGTGCTTGAAAATAGGTTTGAAATGTTGTAAACTGGTTGGAGGTTGTTACAACTGCCTCCATGATTCATGAGAAGAGTGCCACTATCTCGCACCTATATTACTAAAAAATGAAAATATATTTGCAGTGTACAAGACAAATATGGATTGGACATATGGTATTTCACATTCTGATCTGTAGTCTAAATGTTAACTAGCAGCTTGATCAAATGATGAGCGGAATGTTCACATCCTCGATTTTCAGGCAATATAGGTGCACCCGATGCTCATCCCGAAATGGAAAAGCCCAGATGGCTTTTCCACATTCCTAAGGGAGACAATGAGTAGGAACTCCCAATCAAGACAATTGTATCTCTGATCCACTGATCACACAAACCTTGAGTACATTCTCCAAGAGATGAAGGTCAGTGTAGCAGCTTTTGTCCCATTATAACCAGTGATCTAGTAAATGGACATGAGCCCCACTATTACCCACGGGAGTGATCAGAGTCTCTTAAAAAGTCAGTTGCAGTCCTGCAGAATTAGGCATAAATTGTTACAATATAAAAAAAATCAAAAAGCTTGTGTTGTCAAGACTGGCAATGTAAAGAAGACAGCCTGAAGTGACAGTCATCCATAATGTCAGGTGTCCTCCATCAACTCTTAATGTGACTAGACTTTTGAGACCCATTGTCTGCAATCTCAGACTATACATTTGGTTTGTAAATCACTGTCCTATAGTTATCATTTATTTACTTATTTATCTGTGGTCACCTTGAGACAAGCTAGTGTCATCTGATGAGAGAGAACCTTAGTGAGAAAATGCCTCTGTTAGATTGCCTCCGTCGTTCAAGTCCCTGACACATTTTCTTGATTAATGGTTGTGATGGGGGAGAGCCCAGCCCATCATGGGTAGTTCCACCCGTGGACGGGTTGTCCAGGTTGCTATAAGAAAGCCCAGCTGTGCAAGCCGTGGGGAGCAAGTCAGTGAGTTGAGTTATTCCATAGTCTCTAGCTCAGTCCCTGACTCCCAGGTTCCTGTCTTCACGTCCATTAACGGACTATGATACAAAAGCCAAGCAAACCCATCCCTCTCCAAGTTGCTTTTGGTCGAGGCGTTTTATCGGAGCAATAGAAAGCAAAGACAGTCACACAACCCATCGTCGTCACCTAGCCAAGAATTCCAGCTTCAGCAATTCTTCCGCAAGCGATGTTGGGAGTCTGCAGGATGGCATTAATAATTCAAATCAAACTAATAGACAAGAGGCTACTAAGGCGTAAGAAGCAGAGGAAGCCATAAGTAAATATGGGTCAGTGTATACAAAAACTAGCAACAGAGTTTATTCCTCCAGAATGCTTACAGCCTGAGACTGTGGTGATGGGAGATGTCATTCTGAAATCTGTCTCTTATTGGTCGTTGAATAAAACACTGTTGGCCAATAGGGAAGCAAGATAGGTGGGACTAGGAGTCGAGGAGGACTCTGGGAAGGAGAAACACAGAGAGTCAAGATATAGCTACCATAGGGGTCAGAAGTCTGGACCCCTTTCTCCGGTAAGAGAAATATTTAGATGAACAATTATGGAGTAAATACTTAAGTCAGAGCTAGCCAGTAAGAAACCAAGCAAACTGCCAACAGCTTCATAATTAATATAGCCTCCTGTGTGTTCATTTGGGACTGGTGTGGCTCTGGAACCAGGCTGGCAGGAAGGCTTCTCTCTACACTGTGGACCTACAGGAATCTGTGGAAGACTAGCCAACTGTGGTATGACAGACTTTTCCTGGAGAGACATGACACACATCCACTAACCCGGGTTAGGGAGCCACAATAGGCCGGAGTACTAATACCCCCCAAGCCCAACTTTGTGAGTCGATGAGTTTTATTAAGGTAACTTACAGGAATATGGGTAACCAGTTACTACCAGAGCAGAAATGACTCAAAGACAGCTGCGTCAACAAAGCCCATCCTAGCATGAGTGACAGCTCACAAAAAAATGGAACCTGAAGTCCCCTGCACAGCCACGCTGCTGGCTCAACACTCTGGAGAGAATCCTTTCCAGGCGACGCAGGTGATTTAAACTTCCAGGTAGCTCAGCTGGTTTCTGCTTCTCCCAGGTTAGTTAGCTCTCAGAGTCTTCTTTGCGGCGCAGCTTACCTAAGAGTGCCTCCCGGTGCCTTTATTGTGTTCTCTTGGGAGGCACGACCTAGTGAATCTTGTCAGTTTCAGGGGCTTCTTGGAGCTATTTGGAGTTGTTTGCCGTCCATCTTAAGAAGCTTCTCTGCAGGATGGAATGTTTCAGTCCTGGAAGCAAGTGCTACTCAACACCATCCTTCCCCTGGGCTGTACATAACAAGCTCCCCCAGGTTCCCAGATGGAGCAGTCGTGGGTGTGGCTCCATCAGATGGAGCAGTCGTGGGTGTGGCTCCATCAGATGGAGCAGTCGTAAGTGTGGCTCCATCAGCGTGCACAGCCCCGCCGACCGCAGCTTTTCTGTGCATATGTCTGGGTGTCTGTCCGTCTGCATTCCCTCGCCACCCCTAGTCAGGGCTCCAGACCTAAATGGCATCCGTTGAGGTGCTTAGATTTACTGTTACTGACTTAGTTATTTTTCTAATGCTGTGAAGAGACACCATGACCAAAGGCACCTTAGAGGAAAAAAGTTTATTGGAGGCTTGATTTCAGTTGCGGAGAGCAGGTCCATGCCTATTATGGTGGGGAGCATGACGGCAGGCAGGCAGGTATGGCACTGTGGGGGTGGGTCCTTACCCCAAATGACACAGCTCCTCCAACGAGGCCACACCTCCTCATCCTTCCCAAACTGTTCTACCAACTAGGGACCAAGTATTCAAATATATCAGCCTATGGGGGTGTGGTGACTATTCTTGGTTGTCAACTTGAGTACATCTGGAATTAACTAACTGGGCATATCTGTGAGGAGTTTTTCTTAATTAAATCATTGGAAGCAGGAAGACCCTCTCCTCTCTCTCTCTCTCTCTCTCTCTCTCTCTCTCTCTCTCTCTCTCTCTCTCTCTCGCTCTCTCTCTTCTTCATTTACTCTCCCTTCTTTTCTTTCTTCCTTTTGTGTGTGAGCTATATGATTTGAACTTTTAAACTCTGTTCCTTTTTATATTTTATTAACCTGTATTGATTTTTTGGGGTGTGGTTTTCACATCGTGCACCCATCTCCCCATCCCCCATCCTTGCAGCCAACCCCCCCAAAGCCAAACGAAATTTAAAAGAAAAGCCCCAAACCAAACCAAAACAAAGCAGAACAAGAAAGAAAAAAAATCTTGGTTGTGGAAGCTGTGGTGTGGTCCAGTAAGTCCCCCACACGTTTCAACCTGTAAGTCCTTTCATCTTCCTTTTTAAGTGTTCTTTGCCGTGAGTCATCGGGTCTGGTCTGAGGCCTCTGTTCTCCGTCACACCATCAGCAGTGGGTTCTCACCCGGGACGTTCTGTGTTGAGATCCTGCAGTTTGGGACCTGTAGGCTCGTTGTCTTCTCCTGCTCTAACAGTTCAGCGATGAGGTGGATGTCAGGATGGGCCAACTCTCCGCCCAGGTCTTGGGTGTCAGCTGGACTGCTCATCCTGCCAGATTTCCCTCATTGTCACCCCCAACCCCTGCCTCACACTCCCTCAGGCGACCCGTCCAATGCTCGCCTGCTCTCTGGCCCTTGGTCTCTCCTCAGCCCCTTCACACTCAAGCTCACACACCATCAGGGCCAGCTCCATGCTCACGCACCATCGGGGCCAGCTCCATGCTCACGCACCATCGGGGCCAGCTCCATGCTCACGCACCATCGGGGCCAGCTCCATGCTCACGCACCATCAGGGCCTGCTCCACCGAATTGCCCGGCCGAGGTGCGGGGCTCTCTCTGCCAGTTGCTGCAGGGGGCGTATGGGGTGGATGTGGGGGGCATCCGACCTCCTGTTCCTACGCCTTCAGGGCTGGCTCGCCTGTGCCCCTGACAACAGGATTAGCTCTAGAGGGTGCCCTGGTGAATTGCAGTGTCTCCGTGTCCCCGTCTTGTGTGCTGCAGGTGGTGAGTCAAGATTAGTTCTCCCACACTTGCGATCCTGCAGCCTGCTCGCTCATGGGCCACAGGGATAGCAAGGGATGGGGGGATCTTTCCCTCACCCATGCCACCACATGGTGGAGAAGGAGGAGGAGGAGGAGGAAGAGGAGGAGGAGGAAGAGGAGGAGGAGGAAGAGGAGGAAGAGGAAGAGGAGGAGGAGGAAGAGGAGGAGGAGCGGGGAAAACCCCTCTTCTAATCTGGATCTTGGAGGTGGGAAGATGAGACTTGATTTCGGGTCTTTTGAAGCGGGAAGACCCG